GTGCAGCGGTGGCGCTTTCACCGCTTTCACAATTTCAATGCACCTACTGACATCCATCATAGACAGAAAAAATGTTAATATCTGCACACAATACCTTTATGTGGCTACTAATAATGAAAGATTTTGTCATCCTTTCTTTGATTGGCTACGTTTACTCATCCGATCAAAGTTTGCGTCTATTATGAGACACCCTGTATGTCCAGGAGATCCCGTTTGTTCACGAGTATCAGTCAACAAGATATGACACTGTAGCTCCAATGTATCGCCTGGAAATACACGAATGCAAAATGAAGGGGACCTTTTTTCCTTATATGGCTGATTGGGACTTACTCAACAAGGTAGGTGGAAAACTGGTTTCCAGTGATCGTCCTGGAGAGATTTCAAATCAGCGTTTCCCGCTAGCCATAATTTTGCTTACGAATCTACCCAATAGGGTTCATTCTTCTCAGGACAGTTGGGATAACTTTGCTTTGTGGTGATACCTCCTCGCAGGACAACTCACCACCACCAACACTCGATACCCGGCAATGAAAACTCCTAAACTTGCATCCGGATTCCAATAAACCTAACCTAACAGACAAGAACTCAACTGAGATGTGCACTTAGGTCGGAGCCTATGAGTGCGTACAATCAGACTACGCTTCAGTGTGAAATACCGGTCCAAACTCGGTGGGAAAACATGTTTAGTTGCAGATCGCACCGAGCCTATTGTGGCACGATGCGGCTGCAATTCTTTGTTCATTATTAAACGACCGAATGGATCGGTGCACGTAACCTTCAAAAACACCGCTCCCCTATTTGACCATTTAGTTCGAACAAGAAATCCTTGCGGCTGATTTCACTCCTGCCCTGTTGTCTGAATCACACACGCAATTTCTAAGTGTCTGCGATGTTATCCCGCATGGCCACAGACCATCTTGGTAGCAATGACTGGTAACCTCATTAACGAAGCTTATCAGCTGTAAGCTGAGGGCACTTTCGTAAGGTTGACAAAAAATGACCTAGTTAGATATAGTTGGAAGCGAACTGGCTCCTAAAGTGTTTCAACCTGACTGTAGCAACATCTTCCATGTACTTGTGAACAATTGTCAGATCACACCGACACATCAGCAGATGTCAACTAGTAAACAAGCAGTCAACAGTTTCCCACTGAGTATTTTTTCAGCTTACAGTGATATTTTGATGAACAACTGAATCCGGGATATTGAGCAATTTTCCAGCCATTCCTACCCGTCAGGATGACTAATACGACAGACACGATTAGGTTGATGGTATGCGAAATTCAGCGACATTATGAGTAGTATGTTAGCTTTAGATGTTGCATTGTGATATCTGGAATATGGTACCAACGGAAATATGAGATTACCTTGTACAGCACATTCAGTTGAAGCGGACCATGATAATTGGGAGATCCAGCTGTCCGATGAATTTCGTACCAGGAACACCATGGTCTTCGGACTATGCTAGGTTTCCACAGCGCGATATGGATGTGGACTTGTTCCAAAAATGCCTTAGAAACTTCGCCCTGCAGGTGGAAGGCCGACTGGATCTGTTCAGACAAGCCCCACCAAAAAATTAACCCTCACCACCCAAAAAGAGATTAGAAGAAAGAGGATATGAAATTTGTAATTTTAGTTTTTATTGAAGAGGGTGAAATTTTTTGGTGG